TCCGCTATGACAAAGTATTCATTGCAAATAATTGCTGGGGATAGGAGCAAGCAGAAGTCTAGCATATCATTGCAGGGGATTCCCAGTGCCGAAAAATCGTGATGCGAGTCCTTTTTAGATCTTTGTCATCGATTTAAATCACTAAGGCTTCCTCCACGGGAATAAAAAGATTATGCCAAAATGCATAAGAATTTGTTAGCTGAGAGGCCAACTATTCATGAGGTGCCATGTTAAATACACAAGATATGGTGGTAACAATGTCACAGTACTGGAAAATTCAACGCACATAAGAACCCGCACAATCTGTGAACTGCGTGGCGAAAACCTTCGCTCGGTTCATCAATTCAGTTCCACGTTTCGAATTGTATCCTACCGCCTGCTTCCAACATCTGCATGAATTTCTTGCAGTCTTCACTCCCTTTTTCAGTTGCGATTTTCTGTACACATTCTGTCACTTCACGCGGCATATCACCGGCTCTGCCCGCTATGAAGATATGGCCTGAAAATACTTTATGCCTCGAAACCTTTTAACCCCAGTCAGCACAGACTAACACATCAACGTGCTACCGCGTACAATAATACGACCCGCAAATGCGGTAAACAAAATGTTACAAATAAAACAAAAGGCAGTACGGGCCTAGAAAGCCCTGTGAAGAAAACAAGAAGCGGCCGGAACAGCGGTCCTGCCTGTGTTTCATCCCCAAGCTGTAAACACAGACAGCACGAGACGTGATTAGGGGCGAGAATCATCAGTACAGCCCCCTAACACCACTTTTGGATGAACATAGCGTAGGCGCATGATGAGGTAGGATAAAAAAACATGCAAACAAAGAGAAAAAAAAAACATGCAAGAGAGAGAAAAAAATAAGCTGCGGAAGCACTAGTCCCCGAGAACAAGTATATGCGCCGATCAACCGGAACCCACATCAACAATACGTTGAATACTTTTACGACTGGCGTTTCCAAGGAAGGAAGAGGTGTGGGAAAATGAGCAGCAGTGCATGACCGCACTTAACCGGTAGTGAGCAAAACGAAAACTGGTCCAGCAAAAACATATCCTGCTGTGCTTACCGTTGACGTTATTCAACAAATGCCACACTTCATCGCCATATTCTTCAATCCGGTGTTGTACATAAATCTGTAAGTAGCTTTGAAAAAAGATGTAACAAATCCGGCCCACTGCACTATTTCTGGCGCGTAGCTCACATTTAGTAGCTTCTTTGGACTTCACCAGCTCAAATAAGTGAGGGTTTAGTTGCAGCTTGCCCTTTGCCGCCAGCATCTTCCGCTCACAGTGCTCTTAGTTGCTTCCCCTTTTGGAGTCTGCTTACTCGGGGCTACTTAAAAGCGTCATATGATCTGCAAGCACGTTCTGGAGCACAAAAACCAGCTGCACATCGACAGCCCACACAAATCGGAGAGGATGTACATATTTCTAGTAATTTGACTAACCTTGTTTTCTTGGTCTCTGCTAAACGCTGTGATAACACGGGCATCGCTCAGCACATGCCACTCTCTTCTAAAGTAGAAATCCTTCTCTTCGCTACGACATCCAAAAAACAACATGGAATTTTCCTTTTCTCCATGTAATTCCCTGAAAAATTAACATGGATTCGCAGCCAACAAAAATTTCGGTGTAGCACTCGAGCACTACAAAACAAACAGTACAGCCACAAAGAAATGCATACTTTTTTCGGAAAGCAAGTATCGACCGAAATGGGGCGACGCCTGTGCCAGGTCCAACTAAAATCAACGCACTCTTTTTATCAGGCCATCTGCAAAAAAATAAAAATCAGAAAATTTATCACACTGTTTCCCCAAAACGACAACTGTGTATATTCCAGAGCAATAAAGGGCAACACCAAAGCTCACCTCGGCTCGGCCGACATCATACACCAACTGCGAAAAATTTTTTTTGGTGTTGCGAGTAGAGCTATCCCACGACGAATGTCAGGAGTTCGGACATAGCAGA